AAAATTTGTGATTTTTTTTGTTTAATCCATGATCGAATTTTTTTTTTGTAATCCATGATAGAATTTTTTGAAAATTTGTGATTTTTTTTTTAATCCATGATCGATTTTTTTGAAAATTTGTTTTTTTTTTTTTTAATCCATATTATTCAAAGAGAAAACGAGACAGATGATGATTCTGAAGCCACCTTATCCCAACCATATTATTCACATATCGAGTCCCAACAGCAACAGTGTAGGGATGAGCACGAAATACTGTAAATTAAATGCTGAATGGCGGTTCATGCAGGGAAAGAACATATCAATATTCGCATATTCATTCAAAAACATGAAAATTCTTAATGGAGTACCCTCATTTTTTATTGAATTCCTAAAAAACAATATTTATAATGAATTTTAATAATTTTTTCGGATTTTTTTGAAGCCTTATTCTGACCGATTCACCCGATTCCGATCCGGATCGCCGATTCGCCGATCCGGATCGGTTTTTGAAAAGCCCGATCAGGGTCACCGATCCGGTTTTTAAACCATTGGACTCAATAATGAAAAATATAACTGGTAAACAAAAACTTCCTCTTTTCTATCTTCCAACCTCTTAAACTTTTTTGACCATGTATTATTGACCTCATCAATTTATAAAATGACTATCTCTCTCCCTTTAAAACTCTATCCCTCGCACATTATCGTCTTTCTCTAAAACCAAAACTCTATCTCTCTTTTAAAACTCTATCTCTCTCCCTAAAACTCAAATACACCCACCACAATTTATTTTCTTCAAAAGAAAAAATTTCACTACTTTCTTTAACCTCATTTAGATGTTTTTTTTGTTTAATTATACTTTAAACATATATATATATATATATATATTTATTATTTTTTTATCACTTTTGAGCTTGCCTATAAGTTGACTCAGCTGGAGCACCCGCGGAGTACCTAGCCCGAGTCGTTGCTTTAAACACTTGTTGGGAATGGGAGAATTTTAAATTTTGGGAACCACTAAAGAATTGCTAGATGATTATTCTCAACAAACAATTGAAATTTGAGTATTAGATTTCACCGTCTAAAAATTGGGTGATCTCTATTTAATCTCGAGACATTATTTTTCAAGTGTATAGATGGTACAATTAGGAAATAAAATTTCTTGAGGTTAATCTATAGGTTGAAGAGATTACATCCCTAAATTTTTAGAGTCAACAAATTATTTCTATATGGGATTTTACTTGAGGGAGTAAATGCAAATTGTACTCCCGCTGAACTACAATATTTTTTTGGTTAAAAACAAAAGGAAAATTGTGTCATGCCTGCTGAACCGCATTTCTACAATATGAGGTCCCAAGGTATAAAGCATCCATCTTAAAGATGGATGCAAATAGGTGGTCCATCTAAAAACAATTGAAACTAACAGCCAAAATGTTTTCTTCATAGAAATATAGTTTTTAAATTTTATTTATTTATTCATAGTCATGATCTTCACGTTAGAGATAGATGTCCTTAAAAATTAAGTCAAAAAATCTATCTCAAAAATAGATTTTTAAGAGGTGACTCGTTTCTGCATCGACTCATAGAAACCGTATCCAAAACAAAATCATGTTGCCAGCTTCGCGCCGTTGAGAGGGGGAATAAAACTAGGGGCAAATCCGGGGATCTTTGGAACTAGGGGGTTTTTGGAGTAAGAGGGAGAGAGGAGTGAGAAAATTATAAAAAAAAAGAATTATTGTCAAAAAAAAATTATATTACTGCATAGAAATGTTGTAGAATGGGAGAGATTTTTTTTTTTGGATTTTCAGTGGTGAAGACAGGTCCCTACTCATATTTTCAAATAGTTTAGGAGCTATGGTGCCTAGGGTATGGGGTGGCATCACCATAAACACAACCCCAGCCCTTTTCTTAGAGAGAGGGAGAGAATTGTTATTTAGTGATGAAGTGGCTGGCAATGTGCCGAGCCAAGAGGATTACTATTTATGGCAGCGTATCGTAAGGTTACCAATGGGCTTGTTGACCCGCCCGCTCAGTCCTAAAAAACGTCACAAAATGTGACTCAAGGGTTGGCCAAGGCCCATGCTACCATAAGTCGAGAACAAGGCCGGGATGGGCTCAGACCGAGGCTGTGAACAGTCCGGCAAGTTCAACCTTGCTCTTCTTTCCTTAGCAAGCCTAGGCCAAAGTCCATTGGGATGCCCTTAAAAGTACTGAGGCTGGGTTGGGCCTGTCCATTACCACCCTTATATATTTCATATCTTAGGACTTGAAAAATATTATATACCTGTTTGGATTCGAATAGTGTTTGGGTCTACGATTTGGACCCAGACCCAACCCCACAGGTCCCTTTTTTTGGATTCATATCTGGATTCAAATCGGGTCTACCCTTTGGGTTCAGGTCCATTGCCACCCTTAAAAATATATTTAAATAGATATTATATATAATGACTATTTACCTTTTTGATACAAAGTGGTCACAATTACTTACAGCCATCCGATGTGAAATTTTATAGCTAAGATGTATCACAAAGTTCGATTTTTTTCTTTTTTTGAAGTTTGGAATAAGTGTAGCCACCCAATATCATCCTATACTTTCCCATTCAAATATAGTTATAAATAAATATTTCATTTTTATATCGGGTCCAAACAGATCCGAGTTCGGTGAATTTAGGTTCGAGGCCAACCCGACTTGACATGTTGCAACCCCTACCTTATGCTCATGTGCATTTGGTTCTAGTCAGGGCACATGCAAGGAGAGAAATTTTGAGATGGAGAGATGAGGAAGTAATGTGACGTGGGCTCCCCCAAACTATTCCTTAATAAAAGTTAGGGCAGTGATTTCATACAATGGTTGTATTGTAGTATAATGTAAGTGTATTTATAGAAAATCATATTTATGGTATTTATATGATAAAAAATTTTATACAGACACTCTATTCATATCAATAATCAATCCAAAAAAAAAAAATTTCAATTTGAACCTTAAATAAGGTCAAAAAGAGTTTCTTCTAATAATGAATATAGACCATTCATTTGGAGAATTTCAAGATCTTAGTATTTACAAACTCAAAAATATTATTTTATTTATTTTTAACATGGTCCATCTAATAAAAACAAAGCCATTTAAAGCATAGATCTAAGTGTCTTATCAAAATGGACGATCTATGTTAATTGGGTTAAAAAAATATTTTTTCAATTATATTTTCAATTTTTTTTTTTTATGATTGTTCATTAAAATGAAAAAAATATATATTTCAAAATTCGAATAAAACAAATGATCCTAACGTAATTTTTGAAAAATATTATATTAACAATATAGTACTATTCAACCGATCCATAAAATCACTGCCTTAATAACGGCTCTCTCACTCTAGAACGGGCAAGGTTGTCTGGAGAAACACCGGTGTCGTTTTTTTATCTTTCAACGAAAGAGAAATCGAGCACCGAATGCGGGGAACGCGGGGTCAGATCCTTACATTTTCTCTCTCTACATTTTGTTTTAATCCTCTCTCTACAAAAAAAAATAAAATTTTATCTCTCTACATTTTGTTTTAATCCTCTCTCTACAAAAAAAATAAATTAAACAAAAGAGTCGTTACAAGACAATTCAAAACGTTGTCTCTTGCTTCCACATAACAATTGTTAAGTTGCAGGCTAATAAACAACTGTTTCTCTCTCCTCCCTCTCTCTCTTACATTACTACGCACTAACTCTTTCTCTCTCTACCACACTGCTAAGCAGTAGATTCTCTCTCTTCTAAAATACTCATCATTCTCTCTTAAAACTTTCTCTCTCTTAAAACTTTCTCTCTCTACTACAACATTAATCAGAATAAAACTCTCTCTTATATTCTAAGCAGTAACTCTCTCTATAGCACACTGCTAATCAGTGGATTCTCTCTCTAAAAAATACTAATCTCTCCCCCTAAAACTTTCTCTCTCTACTACGACACTAATCAGAATAACTCTCTCTCTCTCTAGGCCCCTACAATTACAGAGCAGTAGCTCTATCTCTCTCTCTCTATCAAAACAGTAAGCAGCAATAACTCTCTTTCTCTCTCTAACTCACAAAACCTCCCATTCCCAACCATCCCCGGATCTGTCCCTTGTTTATCCTCTCATTCTCTCTCTAAACAACATTCTCTCTCTAAAACAACATTCTGTTCCAGAAACACTCAGATCAGATCCGCCATTATGCACAGACCTAAACCCTAGCCTCACCCCCATGCAATGAAGCCGTAGCGCACACACACATACTCTCCGTAGTTTCATCTCTCTAGAAATGTCGAGCTCAGACGCTCCCAAGAGGCCAAGGCCTGGTCCATGGCCTCCAGCTCCTGCCGATTCTTCAATGGCTTCCTCCTGGGCTAAGCGCACCGGGTTCAAGAGCAGGCTTTCGGGTGAGACAAACGTCAGTCGTGGAGATTCAGGCCAAATTGTTCAGGCTAAGCCTCAAGGACCAGAGGTTCAACCAGATCTAGAGGCTGGGAAAACCAGGTCGTCCACTTCAACTGTTAATGGAGTCAATGAAGGAGGGGACAGAATCAAGAAGAGTACTCCGGCCAATGGCCAAAATGCACAGGCTAGGGTTGATGTCCATCCCAAGAGTTCTCGAGAACCAGAGGCCGATGCCTCTTTTCAATCGCAAGATGACGATGGTTTTGTTCAGAGACCCAATGCTCATATGAAGTATGAACTCAGGGACACTCCCGGTCTTGGTAAGCTCCAAACCCATCTCTCTCCAGCTCTTTCTCTCTCTACTTGTAAAGTGTCGATTTTGCTATTTTTTTGGATTTTAGGATTTGGGGTGGTCTTGATTGAGTGTGTTTATGTGCATTTTCAGTGCCCATTGTGTTCTATGGGATTCAGCACTTTGTTTCAATGTTGGGTTCGTTGGTGCTCATTCCTCTAGTCATTGTGCCGGCCATGGGAGGAACAGATGTGAGAGCTCTGCAACATCAAAATATTACTTTTATTTGACATTTTTAAGAATTTGTTATTTGTGGTTTTGAGTAAGTAGGTGGATCAAATTTTCATTCATAAAAGGTGTTAGTGCATTGTAACATCAAACTTTTACTTATTATTGTAGTTTTTTGAGCAATTTTCTGTGATCTGGAGTAATTGGGTGGATCAAATTTTCACTGAAACTTCTTTTGAGATTCTCTTCACATTTTTTTGGTGGTTTGGAGTAATTGTGTGGATCAATTTTTTCACTGATAAAAGGTGTGAGAGCTTTTTAACATCAAATTCTTACCTATTTTTGAGATTTTCTTAACATTTTCTTTGGTGGATTGGAATTGTGCGGATCAAATTTCTCTGATAAATATGCTACAATGGGGTTCTTTTGCTTTTTGTCTCGTAAAATTTATTCTCCTTTTTTTTTCCGGTCAGGAAGATACAGCTATGGTTGTGTCTACCGTGCTATTTATGACTGGTGTGACGACTCTATTGCACACAAATTTCGGGTCGAGATTGCCATTGATTCAGGGCTCGTCATTTGTATATCTGGCTCCAGCTCTTGCTATAATCAATTCCCCTGAGTTTATGCGTCTCAAAGGAGATGTAAGATGTTTTGAAGACCTTTTATTTATTCTATACATTCTGGTTGTTGTTGTTCAATTGGTTCTATTAATCTCTTGCTATGTAACAAAGACACTCATGTGCTTTTAGGACAATCGGATATGCCAATGCACTAGACACGTGTGTCACACACATATAAATACAGAAAATCCGTGCTACATGCGTGTATGGTAATTTCATTTTTTCTGATTTGTAGACACAATGTCTCATGCTATGTGGACTCACGAGCCCACAAATTGGATCAGCAAGACAAATGTGTTCCTGTTGTAAGACAAACGTGTCTGGTTTGTAAGACGTGTGGGTGCATGTGCCTTATGATTTGGACACACTTGTCTTTGATTTAAACATGTTTTATTTCTTTAAGTTAAAAGTCATATATTAATTATATTAGATAAATGTACATAGAAACATATAAATTATACAGACTTATACGGTTTTGTCATACTTGACTTGGCAATATATAGGTGGGAGAGTCAGACTGTTCAAATCTGAGTCAGACATGGACTCTTCTATGTGTGTCCTTGTACCATAGGTCTCTTGTACTGATCTAGTACTTGTGAATGTCGAGTTTTATATTGGCATGCACAGTATAGCTTTCTCGAAGGATTCAAGCCCTTCTGTATTTGTTGCTTAAATTAGCCAATTGTGCATCCATACTCCAATCAAGCTGATTCTTTATTGATGGTTCACAATGATCCCATGACTTCATAAAATAACATTTCCTACATTTATTTTCCTTGCAATTTTCAATGTTTGTGACTTTGATTGTGTCTTTGTGTGACATTTATAGTCTTATGATTAATACTCTTGGTTTCATACTTGGTCATCACTTGTTTGAGGCATGGAATTGCCTTGGACAATCGTGCTAGTTTCAGTTTGACTCAAAAGCAATTAACTTCCGGGTTGATGTTTATGCAACTTGAGAGCTTATCTGGAATAGAACACTATAAAATGTTAGCCAGGCAGTTTCATATCAGTGGTTCTTATTCCATTTGTATGTGAATGTGGCACTATACAAAATAAGACAGGATGATGAGTAGACATGTGTGGGAAGAGATCTGGAACTCCTGGTATATGAACTCAATTCATAAGGTCTAATCTGAACATTTTGTACTCTTTTTTTTTTTTTGAACATTAACTTTTTGTAGTGGGTTAGCAATTTGAAATTGTCAGTAGTTTTATTTTCAAAAGGGGTTAGCATTGGTGGGAATGGAAACCAAGACCGGTAGCTGAGTCACAGGTGGTGCTACCACCTTGACCTCAACCTCATTCCTCTGAACAATTTGTACTCTGCAGCCCGTATTAGTTTCAAATGGCTCAGTTTCATCCTCTTGATCCATATCTTCATGAATTCCAAAACTACAGCCCGGTGTATGTTCACCCTTTTCTGCTTTGCAAATTGATTTGCACCTTTAACTCTTTCAAGGTGATAATCAGGTCCAATCCGCGGTTCATTTGCACATCTTGTTGTGTATTTTCTAACAAGCAGATTGGTTGTTATGGCTGTAGTCTCTTATTCCTCATTTCTTTCAGCTGTCAGAACTTGCAATCACATGTTTAGGCCAGTTTGAATTTCAGCTTTGGACTTAATTGCAACCCATTTAAGCACACTACACCCCTTAGGTTCATTTTTCAACCTGCAACCAGCAGTTTGTCTTTTTGGGGGTAAAGATTCTTAGGTTCAGTGGACTGCTGCTAACCCATTAACATGGATTCAAAGGAAGACATGCCTTGTATCTATTCCGAGCTTCCAGATTTATGTACTATAAATTTTTTCTATCAGACAATAAATATTAATATCACTATACTTAAAATGTGGAAGTTGCCCTTACCATCACTTTGTCACTTGAGTGGGCACGTTCCATTTTATGTGACTTCCTATAAAGGACTTGATTCACATGGGCAACCATCTGCAATAATTTATAAACAAAAACGATCAAACAATTCAGGTGTTCCAATTCCCCAATTCTTGTACAACGTGCAAATGTTAAGGACCAAAGCAATTCAGTACCTGCAAATTCATTATTAGTAGGTGAAAATAGTATCAGTTTATACTAAATGTATACTTCAGCATCCGTGGATCCTTCTTGGTTCAACAAGTGGCTCATGTTAGTGGCAGGGTTATGGGTATAAGTTGTGGTGAGCGGATCATGATGAATATCGTCTCCGATTTACTTGTCAGGGAATATCTCAGAGGGTTTAGTGTCTTGGAGTATTTATTCTAGGAGTGGATATTTGTGGGCATGGAAGCTTCATGATATATGTGGTTAGTGAGGTACACCGATTCCCTTGGGCAATGTTGGGGTTTAACTTTTGTGGGAGCTCAATTAGGTAATGGGCTTGATACTTGATGAGATGGAATGTAAAAAAGACATTTGCAAGGGAGATAATTGTAATGGATTCTACGGGGTAAGGTTGGAGCTTTGCATTAGGATACCCCCAGGTTTTTTTCTTTGCTCCTTGCTTGTGGGAAGGGATTCTTCAAATGATATTCATTCAATTAGTTGGGATATTACCATTCTTCTATGAACATTCTCAAGGAATTAGGAAGTTCTAGATTCTTTGGAGTTTTCCGTTTAGAATGTCGTTGAAGATGCTAAAATTGATACTTTGGGGGTTTTGGCTGCTTGGAACTCCCTCATGTTGCAACCAGGTGAATATGATTCACCTCTCGTTTTCCTCTATTTTTTGTTGATTATAATTAATTCTGGGGTGTGGTTTGTATAAGGCTGAGGCCCTAACCAATTGAAGTAAGGTGCGCCTTCAAATAGTGCCGAAATATGTTGTTTCAGTATCAGAAATCTTTATGATGGCTTGAAAATTTATTTTCATCTCTAATTATAAAATTTAAAGATTAACAAATAGTGTAAATCAGGTAGATCTATGAACACTTGAAAGTCTTAAAAATTGACGGTGCAGATCATATATTACAAGATGCACCATTTGTAAAACTTGAAATCTATTTTTTCTCATGTCCAAACTTCTTGAGGTCGAGATGGTTAAATTGAGGGTTTTTCAGCATCGAAACAACATCTTCTAGTAAATTTTTGAGGTGATCCTTAATTTGATTGTTTAGGGCCTCACCTATATAAACTTTTTCCTTAATTATAAAACTAAAAGATTACATATTCCACGGTGTAGTAAACTATATCTATCATAAACGGTTGTCACTTGTTATTGCTAGTCCCTACTAACTCCATTGCATGCCTTGTACACAAATGTCACCTATTTCATGTATCATATTTCTCTTGGGGATTAATATGGTTTGTCATGGTTTCTCTTTGATCCCCCATATTTGCATTATTCATTCCATGCTGCTTATCAGGAAGAAAAGTAGCACTTTCCACTTGTTGAGGAGAAGGAACCTATGAAATATTTATGTTTGTACTAGTTCTATTAAAAATACATGAAAAGTTCTTTAAAGTAGATGACTGACTATATGTGACATTGTGAAAGCTTTAGTATTCTGCTGTTGCTATCACAATTTTGTTACTTTGTTATCCTTTGAAGTCAATACATGATGGCGTGATCCAAGCCTTTGGATTTTCTTGCAGAGTTTTAAGCACATAATGAAGGAGCTCCAGGGAGCTATAATAATATCTTCTACATTTCAAGCCTTACTGGGATATAGTGGTCTGATGTCAATTTTTTTGAGGTTTGCTTCTTATTATTTTGGAAATTTGACATCTTATTTCTTGTTTTCATGTGCACTTTTCTCTACACTGGTGCTGATGTGAGAATACAATACCGAAATTTTTCGTTTTCTGTTTTGATGATGATTTTTATTGCTCTCTTTGATCCTTGTTAGAGTTATTTAATCACTAGGTTTATGACATAGTTGTTGCCTTCTGCAAGATGCTTCAAACTCAATCTAAAAGAACCAAAAAAGTATGCATCAGATTTTGTTACAGGTTGTCTATGTATTGGGTGAATGATTTTGTGGAAACATCAGAGTGTCTTAAATAGAAATGGGGCATGTGCCCCAAACATATCCATACACTTAACAACAGGCAATGAGTAGTAGAGCGTTAATGAAATTTGATCATTGTATACATCAGAGATAAGAATGTCAAAGGCATCTTCATTTGACGTTTCCAAAATGAGAAACCATCTTGTATTATATGTAACCAAATGTACTTCTTATCATCATTGATTGAACTCATGGATGTGAAGCTGTATTCATAACCTTCAAGAGGCTCATAATTTACCAATCACTTGTCTATTTCAGGTTAATTAATCCAGTAGTTGTAACTCCAACTGTTGCAGCAGTTGGACTTTCTTTTTTCAGTTATGGTTTCCCTCAAGTTGGTACCTGTTTGGAGATTGGTCTCCCTCAGATATTGCTGCTCGTTATTTTCTCTCTTGTGAGTGGTTCTCTTCTCCTAATTTACTATCATGATCTGTATATGGCCTTTTTTCTGTGCTCTATGTTTGAGTTAATTTTGTCCTTGCTGTAGATATGCATTCACTGACTGCTGTATTTAATTTTGGCCTTCACTGTAGCATTATTTTTTCATTAACTTATCTGTAATCCAATTTTTGTTGCAGTATCTGCGTAAGATATCTGTTTTTGGCCATCGGATATTTCAAATTTATGCGGTAAGTAGCTATTTGGTGTGTTCCTTATCTTTGAGTATTGTTTTTCTTTTAGAGTTTAATTTTGATGTGAAATAAAAACTTTCTTATCCAGATTTCATCCTTAGTGCTTGGTGAAGTTTTTATCGTGTTTTAATCTTGTCAGGTTCCGTTGGGTTTGGGCATTGCATGGGCCTATGCCTTCCTTCTGACTGAAGCTGGAGCTTACAGCTATAAAGGTTGTGATATAAATGTGCCTGCCTCAAATACTGTATCTGATGCTTGCAGAAAGCATATTTCTACAATGAAGAACTGCCGTGTTGATCTTTCACATGCATTCAAAACTTCTCCATGGTTCAGATTTCCATATCCATTGCAATGGGGTACACCTGTTTTTCATTGGAAGATGGCCCTTGTGATGTGCATAGCATCCATTATTGCTTCTGTCGATTCAGTAAGTTTCTATATTTCCTTTTCTTAGAATTGTAATATTTATTTGTTTAGAAATTCTTGACGCCATCTAAAATTTTTGTGTAGTAGACATGGTTATTCGTTGCTGTTGGAATACAACAATCCACTAAAATGGATCCTTAACTGAATAAAGTGAACCATAAGTAGATGAACCTTGAAAGAGATGGTATTTTGTCTCAATGAGTTTTTGTCACCACAATGGCGAGTAACAAAAATAATTGGATTGTTGAAGAACCTATTGGGTGTGCTTGATGGTTGGAGAATACTTCGAGTTTGTAGGATTGGAGACAAACTAGGGAATTGAAAATGAGATGTCTATATTGATGGAGCTTTGTAAGCATCAGTAATAGAAGAAATCGGCCAAAGTTTAAGCGATATGGTATAACAAGTAGCATGGATATATTTTGTATGGTCGAAAGATACCTACATGGGTGTATAGGCAACACCTATAAGGTGCCAGATTCTTCATTTAATGGTTACTATTTGCATATGTTGACATGTACATCAATAAATGTACTCGCTATGTCAATGTGTATAACAATTTTGATGCAGCGAGCAAAAGGTAAATACCACTAAAATATGGAGATTTATTATGTTGATCTACAATTGGAAATAGACTAGTGAAATGATGGAGAGTTATATCATATAAAAAATGGGATCTTACATAAATAGTGGTGAATGGTTAGCTGAAGATGGTGGTAGTGCAAAGAGGAAGGCACATCGCAGAACTGGTTGGCTATGCTGCATGTTCTATGTTTGGCTCCTTTTTGGGTCTGAAGTAGGTAAATAGAGCTGTGCTTGCCTTTGGAAGCATGGTCTTTGGGGTTTGAAACACTAATTCTCGCAAGTGGGAAACTACTTGGTCTACAATCCTAGCACTAAGAGGACAAGGGACGAAATGGCGCACTGGGTCTGAACTTGTAGAGAGATGCTGCAAAACTGTTCCAGAACGTTATTCTCTGGCTTTTTGTTTATCTTCTATATCACTTTCAATAACTTAGGGGAAGTAACCAAGTTTAAGAACAGAGCTAACTTTCCCCACATTTAAATGCCCTTTTTTGGATTTTTCTCTCTTTTAGAGAGATGGTATAGAAGGTTTGTAATGAATTTTATACTTGCAGGAAGTGCATTCTCAGTTCTCTGATATAAAATTTCCTTGTTCTAGTGAAAGGTTGTCTTTTTTTATTAGAATTGTTATGGCTGCTTAGATAACTAGAACTTTGTCTTTGATTCTTCTCTCTCTGAACAACAGTTTAATTTTACTTCATCAAATTCATCTTCACCAATTTTTTGTTGCATGAAATGTAAGAGCTGCAGTATAGTTTAGGGAAAAAGATGTAGACACTTCCCCCCCCCCCTTCTCTCTCTAAACTAAGGATCCTGTTACCCTCCCAGGTCTATGGGAAGCCCATAAACCCCCTCAAAGTTTATTAAAAAGCTCGAAGAACCCCCTAATCCCTATTTTGTCTTTTTCTTCCTTGAAAGTGCCCTTTCTTTTATACCCCACGGTTCAAACCACTTTCCCTTCTCCTTTTAATCACGTTGACTCTCATTCCCATGGAGGGTGAGGGGGAGATTATCTATTATTTATTCCTACAATTATGAATAAAGGAATGGTAATAGGATAGAGAGAGAAAGGGAGAGGTTCATGGAGTAGAGAGAGAAAGAGAGAAGGGTAGAGAGAGGAAGGGGGTGAGGGTAATGGGGTAGAGAAAGAAAAGATGCTGTTCATAGGATTGAGAGTTAATGGGATCACAAGGAGAAGGTAAAGTGATTTGGATCATGGGGAATACGTGAAAAGAAAGGGAAAATATCAGGAAAGATGAAGGCAAAATAAGGATTAAGGGGTTCTTTGACCCTTTTTATTATAAAATTTTGGGGGTCCATGGGATCTCCAAGGACCCCGGAGTGTATACCAGATTGTTAGTTTAAATAGGGGGACATACGTCTTTTTCTCTATAATTTATTATGTTCATTTTTGTGACATTGTTTTATTTTATATAATATGCCTGCTCTTTTATAGGAGAAGTCTTTCATAAAGTAATAAGATATAGGGGGAAAAAAAATGAAATGATAAAACCATCTTGTTCTCTGGCTCTCCTTAAATGTTCTGGTTATGCTATTTGCTTGTAGGTTGGATCTTATCATGCATCATCATTGTTGGTGGCGTCAAAGCCTCCAACCCCTGGTGTTGTCAGTAGGGGCATTGGCCTCGAGGGTCTTACAAGTGTCTTAGCTGGCATTTGGGGCACAGGAACAGGGTCAACAACCTTAACCGAGAATGTGCACACCATTGCAGTTACTAGAATGGGAAGTCGAAGATCAGTGGAGCTTGGAGCATGTGTCCTGATAGTATTGTCCCTAGTAGGTAAGTACTCCTCTGTAAGCTTGTATAGCAGTTTCCGTAATATTAGGAAGATTATATTACACAGCATATGGTATATGGTATATCACGGGAGCTTCAACCATGTGTTTTGTAGTTCTCGATGATGGACATTTTCCCAGGTTCTATTATTTTCATCACCTGTAGTAAGGATTGAATGGTGGATGCCTCCTTGTTTTACCATATGCCATATGCCAGTGGGGTGTGGCCACTATGTTCCCCTTAATATTTGTTCTCAATAATTAAGCAATTTAGTTCGACTTTTTTAACTGCTAACTGTTATTCTTCTTTATTTTGGCTCTTTGTTGATGTAGGACCAAGGGGGCTTGGCTCCTACAGAGTGTAAAGCATGAGGTGGGTGTAGAAAGAAAGGGTTTGCATATAATTGTAAATTCTACTTAGGTTTTGATTAGGAGTTCTGAAGGGTTTTAGGTTCCTACAAGATTACATACCCATTTAATATACTTACCTCTTCTCAAAAAAAAAAGAAAGTTGTGCGACAATTGGACAGCAGGCTTTTGGGCATTATGAAGGTTTCCTAATTGGGGTGGAATTGGAGAATGCGAGTCTAATTGAATTAGAACTTGGGTTATGGTAATGGGGAAGGGTTTAGTTAGGTTGGGGCAAGGTTCAGGTAGGTTTAGGGTTTCTAGAAGGGCTTAGAACTTGCGGGGAATCAGGAGGTTCACCGAGATGAGAGCATGATAAGATGGATTTAATGTTGGTTAGTGCAAATCTTGGGTTTAAACTTTAAACTTAGGTTTAAGGCTATAGAGTGTATATGGTTATGGTAGCTATTGAGCTACTTTACGCATGTTTTAAAGAGGTTTGGCTAGGGTTTATAAAAATAGTTTGAATGGGCAATGAATTTGGTTACACAGAATCTTAGGTGGGGAGGCACCACCAAAGAAAAGAGAGGGACGCATTAACTTGTTGGGTGAATCTCCTCCCAATATTAAGCTAGAGAAGTGGAATCACTCTCTTTACAAAAAGAGTTGAGGAATCTGTCCTCTGAAAGTGGCCCACTCACCGTGATAACCAAAATTTTGTTAGTCAACTTGGATATGAATGGACCATAGGCCTAATGGGCATTTTTTAGGGTTCCAAGTTCTATTTGCCATGTACCTGTACCTTGAAATCATAAAAATGAACTCCTAAATATTCTAGGGAACTATGCAACTCAAAGGTTTCTAATCCAACTAGCATTGGAACATTACTTTCCTGAAAACCAATAAGCTTAAATTAATGCCCAGCTACAACAGGACTCAATAATGAATAAAAAGAAACCTAATATACTTGGAAAATAAAATTCGTCTCTAATTTGTCCATCCGACTTTCAATTATGATTTAGAGCCCAAAACTCCTGAATTACAAAAACACATATAGATATGGGTCGTAGATCTTCAAGAGATCGTAGGCTTTGGATCACCTTGAACGTACATCAGGTTGAAAATTTAGGTCTTTGGGAAGCAATCTGCATCATTTGTATAATTATAATGTTCTTCCTTT